ACATGAGAAACTAGCTGCTTGACATGCTTGTTTTAAAACCTTATATTGTGCTAATGATGGTTCGTCATCAACTGAGTTTGCTTCAAACGCTTCTTTTGTTGCTAGAAATCTGCTTGACATTAAGTTATTTATTTGTATCCACGCAAGTTTCATGTTTGAAGAAAGCATTGTTTGGTTTCTTTTGTAAATAACTTGTGGAGGACAAGACTGAACATACAGTATAATCTAAGTGATGTTATAATAAAAGAAGCTAGGTTCTTAGCACTTTTACTCAAACGGGCTTCTCGTCTTTTTTTTTATATGAAATTACTGTAATCGTTTGCTTGCCTGTATGAAAGGAGTATTTACTGAAGTTACTTCTGGCATATATCAAATCTTCCCTTTCTGTCTAAAATTTTAGAGTGAGTTATAGATGATCAACTTCAGACCCACCTCAAATCCAATAGCTTGTTTGAACCATTCCAGTCTGGTTTCCGTCCAAAACACAGTGCCGAAACAGCTCTTCTCAAAGTTACCAACAATCTTTTCATTTCCTCTGATTCTGCCCAGCTCAGTATCCTTATCCTCCTGGACCTCACTGCAGCTTATGACACTGTCAGTCATTTCATCTTCCTGTCCCGTCTCAAGTCCAACCTGAACATCACTGGCTCCACTCTGTCCTGGTTTCAGTCCTACCTCATACCTACAAGTCCTCCATAACCCCTATATCTTAGGGTGTTCCCCAAGGTTCAGTGCTTGGTCCTCTCCTTTTTATTTTTTTTCCTATTTTTAGCTACTGTTCTGCTTTTTTAACTTTTAGTTAGTGTTTTGTTCCTTTTAGCTTTTTGTAAATGTTCTGCTTTTTAGTTTTTAGTTAGTGTTCTGCTCTTTTTAGCTAGTGTTTTTATTTTAAAACTTTTATAGTGTTTTGCATCTGTTAGCTTTTAGCTAGTGTTGTTTTTTATTTCTTAGTTAAGTGAAAACTTAACATCCTCCCCCTTGGTAATATCATCCATCGTCATGGCCTCCATTTTCACTGCTATGCTGATGACATACAGACTTACATTTCTACTCCACCCATAAACCCCAATATCCACTCCGCCCTCACCCATTGCTTAACTGACATCAAAATCTGAATGAAGCACAATTTTTTCAAATTAAATACTGACAAAACTGACATCCTCCTCATTGGTCCAAACAGTGCTACCAAGTCCACTAAAATCTTCTGCCTCAACTTTGACATCTCTCACTCCATCCATAACTCTTGGTATTCTTCTCTACTTCTCCTTTCTGGCTTGTTTGTATTTTCAGTGGAGCCCTCCTGGGCCGTCTTCTTCCACGGTGCCCGTTATGATTCAAAATGCCAGTGCTGCAACCAGAAAGTAGCATACTTGACCTTGTGAGTTCAACTTGAATGGTTTCCTTAGCTCTTTTTCTACCATCCAAATGATATGATCGCCTGGGGTTGCATTTCCTCTTGTGGCCGCAATCTGAGAAACTGGCTACAGTCCCATGAGCTACTTTTTAGTGGCAGCTGTGATCACAGGAGCATGAAGCTGCGTGGAGACAGTTTTGAGGCCTTTACCTTTAACATGGATATCTATAATCTTGGTTCTGAGCTCCTCAGACAGCTCTCACCTTTATGTTCACCGCTTCATGTTCAGTGGAGCGCACAGTGACACCAAACTACCCAGTGGCCTGCTTGTTCCCTTTAAACAGGCTGAATGACTGAGGAAAAGCTTGAAAGCACCTATGATACCAATTAAAGTCAAATTCTAAGTTTGAAACATGACTATAATGCAGGAATTAGTAGTTGCTTTAAATATACAAGCTATCCATACTATATTAGTATATATTTGTATTCAATTCAATTCAATTCAGTTTATTTATATAGCGCCAAATCACAACAAAGTTGTCTCACTTTACAGGAACATTCACATACATAAAAGCCAATTAGTAAAGTTCCCTATCTAAGAAATTAAACAAATATTTTTATTTTTTTGTTTACTTAATCAGGCAGGCCGATAAACATTAGACAATTGCTTCTATCTGAATCACTTTTCATGGGAAACTACGCATTGCTGCAATGTTTACACTTCACCAGAATATAGATGTTCAGGTAATACTGGAGTGGTACTGTGGCATGCGTATATTGCATAAAGTAGTGTTGAATATTATCAGTGAAGTCATTCCTATTTTTAACGTGTAATTCATGTGAACTGGCCCTTTAACTGCCAGCAATTAGCATAAGTATCATCATCATGCTGCAAAACTTTAACTCTGTCTCTGTTTAGTCAATATCACTAACAATACAACATGCTTAACTCACATCTGGATTTAAAGAAATATATTTTTCTGACTTTATTATAAGAATATTGATCACATTTTTGGTTTGCACACAAAAAAATACTATACAGTGTTTAGTACACTAACTTGATTTGGTTTAAAAGGCATTTTGACCATTCAGACATTAAGACAATACAATGCTCTGGGTTAAACACACCACCACAACATTGGTTTGGTTGTTTCAACTGACAAAACATAGCTTTAGCTTTCATTTCCCACCAGTTCTAACATCCAACTCACAAAAGTTGGACTTTTACTGTTCAAAGGTGTTGATATAAAAATAATCAGAAGCACCATATTTCAGATACACCTGCCAGTTACAACCTAAAAACTATTATTCTAAGACTTTGTAGGGGCTCCCCTGTCCAGAGTTTGTTTGGACCCATTGGGATTGAACACAAGTCTAGGCTGAGATGTCTGCTCGTGATGGCGAGGGTTTGGGGCTGAGGCCTCCATTGATTGGGTAAGTTGTAGAACATTCCAGAGGTGAGGATACATCATGTTCCTCCATCTCCAGTGATGCTTAGATGGGGATCCACATGACTGCCAAGACCAGAAGTTTTCTAACAGCAGCAATGCATTTTAATGATGAGACTATTATGGCTCATCTTGTCCCATTAAGAGGTTTTAATGTTGTGGCTGATTGTTGTGCACTACACATGGCATGGGTGACATGATTACAGCTGTAAAACAGAACACGTATGAGCCTCTAAAAGGACTGCAAAACCCTGTTCATGGATGAGACAAAGTGGAGAATTAAAGACACAATTATCTGCGTCATTAATCAAAATATTTCATAAACATCTCAGTAACGTAGTAACGTGACCATCTTTGATTTAAAACAAACAACTTTGTTATACTTCTGGTGAAGAACCTTAGAAAACTGTTTGTGGGGTTTTCTGTTGTGAGATTCATAATTACCTCTGCTGGGAAACACTGAAAGACATTAAAGGATATTGGTAATGATGATCGTTGGTTACCGTGGCAACCACACCTTTGAAACAGCCTCTCAGATTGCTTCACTGAGAGTGCCCGCTGGCTGAATACTCGAATGTTCAATTAGTTTCCACACTGCATCACATTTTTGTCTCGTTTGAGCCGAGAAACAAACTCCAGAGGTTTTGGAGCAGGAAACGGCGCATCAGAGAGGACAGCTGTCTGACGTTACTGTTCACTCACTCAGGCTTCATTTCCCTCCTGACCCCATCTGACCTTAAACACTTCATCGTAAGAAAAACAATGCTATGAGGTACAAAAGAGCAGAATGGTCACTTTTAAGTTAAATAACACAAGCAACGAGACGTGGATGCAACAGCCATCCATCATCTTTACCCGCTTCTTCCTTTTCGGGTCACACAGTAATCTAGACGTTTGTTATTCTGCTGCTGAGCCCTTCTGCGGTCAGGGGAATGAATGTAGTACATCAGCTGTCACTGAGTAACCTGCATTTGGGTGCCAAAATTCCCAACGACAGAAGAGTCTCTTTGTCATGGCTCATGGGCCAGACAGATTCTGTCTGTCCAGGTGTGTCCGTTACCAATCCATGCCATGTCTCCTTTCGCCTCAGTCGTCCTTCGACTGGTAACCCATGTGTGCATTGGTGAGGAAGTCACAGGTGGGGATACTGCTGACCGCCTGGTGCATGTTCATAGCCGTGACCTCTCTTGGAGCTCTGAAACCCAAATGTGGTCTCGTTAAGAATATCTCAACATGTTAAGAAAGTCTCACACAGCCTGCTTCTGGATATTCATGAACACCTTCAGCTCTATTGGCTCAGATTTAAAAGACTCTGGTGTAAAACTGATTTAAAACTCAGCAGACTGAGAAAAAAACTGTATTCATGTTTAACTTCAGCAAAAACATAATCAGTTGGTTATAGTCATGATTATTCCTAGATACAAATCATCCAAATTGAAAGTTTTTAGAGTACTGTTAGCTCTGGATTTATGATAAGTTGGTGTTTCAGCAAGTCACCCTGCAGGATGATGTTTCAATCAAACAGCAGTAATGTTTGCTAATAATGTGCTTTAGTAATGTAGCAATGTGCTTTTATTTCCTTATCTTTGAACAAAAAATATTATTATATTAATAATCAAAAATATTAGACTTCGCCTACTTTCAAAACATGCAGAAAAAAGACTTTCTTCTCAAATGTATGAGCTCCAGATTATCAACTTTATTGTAATCTGATGTTAAATTCCTGAAGCTGATAAAAAAAAATAATAATCTGGTTAATTGGTATTACACAACTATTAGAAATACAAAATAAATAAAATAATAAATATGCAACACAGAAAAGTAAGAAACTGGTAGGATGAACAATCCCCAGTTAAGGTGAAAACTGTGCATGGTGAAAATTAAAACAGTGAAAAATAAAAAAGCTGACCTGTTTGGAGGGGATTTAGTGTAGGCTCCAGCTAGAGCTTCTCTCAGGATATCACTAGCAAACTGCTCTGTAGCCTGCAGACACACACAGCTCACATCAACACCCACCATCTCCTGCAGTACACGTGAAAACTCCTCATGGTCTGTGCGCATTTTCAGTTTTCTACTGAATGTGGCACCAGTTCACAACAAAAACATTACCTTCAGGCACTCTACACGAAGAGAACCAACACTTTAAAACACTCTCATCGATTAACACTGTTTATATAAAGTCAGTCACTGGAAATCTGCTCAGTCTGTAAAGTCACTGACCTTCAGAATCATGGCTTCGACAACCGGAGCAAAAACATTCTTCTCCACCTCCACCGGCTGAAAGGTCACGCCAATCTAAAAAACACAAAGGGATCATCAGATTAAAAATGGAAGGTACGTAACAACTGTATGCCTTAACACGAACAAACAGAACAACACTTGCACAACTTTAAATATTTCACTAAATGCTAACTTTCACAAGCCTGGAGGGTTTTCTAACCTGCTGTGCTGCTTCACCGACAAACTGAGAGGAAATGGACGGGCCCAGGAAGAATTTAGGCTCCACATCAGCTTCCTGCTCTTCCTCTTTGACCTTTAGTTTCTGGCAGGCAGGGGTCACAGCGACAATGTCGACTATTTCATCATCTTCCTCCTCTGGTTCGGTCTTGAGGAGAGCCTGCATCTGCTCCAGCCGCAGCACCAGCTGCTCGTAGCTGCAGAGGGTTGACGGGCACTCTGCGGAAAAATTCACATTTACCACAGGATGCTTTATTAGTTTTTGTAACATTCATTTAATTAGTTCGGCATTGGGACCGTTACAAAATACAAATGTTTGTGCAACACAAAGTGAGGCTAACAGAACTAAAACACAGGCTTTCAGGCTCAGGTGAGTGACTCACTGAGCTACGCAGCCTCGCCTCTCACCTTGTAGAGACAAAAGACCAAAATGTTAAGCGCCTCCTGTGGATAGACTATGAGCTAAACAAAACAAAACAAGGCTTCACTTCGGCTGCCCTCACTACTGAATATATTGTGTACACATTACAGCACCAAGTGGCAACTGCAAGAGCAAGAGCGCTACACCCACACACTGAGCTGCTGAACATCAGACGAAAAAAGGTAGCTCTTCCTGCAGGTTTCCAAAAAGACAGAAACTTACCAGGCTCGCTGTCTATTTGTGTGAGAATGTCCTCCATGGACTCGTCATCGTTCTTGTTTTGGGGCTCGGGGTCAGGTGGCGTGTAGCCCCTCTGCCGGCACCACTGCACCACCTCTCTGGTCTTTGGGGGTGTGAGGGCCTGCAGGCGAGGTGAGTGGTCCAACACGTCCTGAACAACCCGTTTCACTGCCACGGCTCGCTGAAGCTACAGAGGCAATACCAAAAAATATTTATTTAAATCAGATGAAAACTAGAAATATTGCATTTCCTGGGAACATACAGTGTGAATGCTAATTGCAGAAGAACTTGTTGAAAAACAGCTGAAATTAGCTTAAAAAACATGTTGGAATGTAGCTGAAATGGAAGCAGAAGAAAGCAGAAAGAACATATATTTGCTGAATTAGGTTTAAATAAGCAGAAATTAGCACAAAAATTAGGAAATCAGCAAAAAAAGGCCTAAAGTAGCAAAAAAACATCTACAAAGTAGCTGAAAAGGTACGAAGCTTAACCTACGAGAAGGAAGTGGAAATAGCTGCAATGAGCTAAAAAATGTGAAATTGGCTGAAAAAGCTAAAATAAACATAAAAACAGCTAAATAGTAGCTTAAAGAGCAGAAATAGCTGAAACTAGCATAATTAAGCTGAAAGGTGCATAACAAGCTGAAATTAGCATAAAGAAGTTAATTACGGGGTAGGCTGAAAGTAGCAAAAAATACCATGGAAAACTTGAACTTATCTGAAAACAGCTGAGATTAGCTAAACAAAAAATGATAAAAAGATAGCTGGAAAAGTAGAATAAGCTTAAAGTGGGGAGCGCGGGTTGCTTTTCAAATTTTCTGGGTACGACTATGTACAAACACAAGTCAGCTTAAAGTTTCATGCTCTCAAGCACATAGACAAGATGAGAGAGTTACCTCTGATGCTCTGCGTTTGCCAATAGTCCAAGAATAATACTGTTTTACTGAAGAGGCACAAAATGGATGAGAGTCTTCAGCTGAAATAAACAGATCGTAAACAGCATGACGAAGGTGAAAGCAACACAGTCTTTTCAGGAAGGTTTTATAGCGCAGCACAGGAAAGGTTTGCCTACTTACTCTTATCTGGTACAATCAGGGGGAACTTCTTCAGAACAGCAGTCAGCAGCTGCATCATGGTTTCTATGTGCTCGGTGCTGAGGAAGAAGATAACACCAGTCAGGTTTACAGTCTGGAAACAATCACAGAGCAGCTAGAAGGCAAACGTGATATTTCAGACCTTCATTATCACATAAGATCGTTTTGAACACAATCACTGATCACGTGATCAATTTATTCCTTTTTGTTTTCTTTAACGACAATTTAAAGTTGAAATAGGAGCAGAATGTAACTGTACGTAAAGTAAACTTCATCTTCCAAACAGACGATAAGTCACCTGTTCTTTTAGGAATATTTTGTGTTTGTGTTGTGAGTCAGAGTAGCGTTGTCCGTACTTGATGAGGTCGTGTGCAGAGTTATCTGCGCCTTGCTCCTGCTTGACGGCGGTGGCTGCAGAAGCAGCGTGAGCCGAGGCTGGAGCAGCAGCCGTCACCGGCGGCGATGGACCGGCTGCAGCAGCACCTGGCTCTGTCTTCACTGAGGCAGCAGAGAAACACACACATGCGAGACAAATATTAGTTTTAGGCAACACACACGTTTTATTGATTTCACCGAGGCAAGAAAATGCAAACGTGAGAAGTTACATCAAATTTTTATACTCTACTCACTGAAATTATCTTTAACTTTCACACTTATATTTTCATATTAACAACGGGTGTCCCGATACTAGTTTATTCAGACCGAGTACAAGTACTTCAGTTCGAGTACTTACCGAAGTGAGTACAGAGTATTTAATGAGTTAATACTTAAACAATACAGTGACTTTAGAAACACACTTTTATTAAGAACACAGCAAACGTCTGATGTCTCAACACCGCCTGTGTTCATCTTAAATATATATTCAAACGACTGACATTTTTTATTTTTTGCTCTCAATTATTCGCAAAATGAAAGAGAAAGTGATGTCATCAAGCATAAAAGTGCTATCGGTCCGAAGTATCGGGGTGATTTTATGAGTAGAAGTGTGAGTATTTGAGGCGTATTGAGACAAAACTAACACACTAACACATATATTTTAAATTTTAATAATAGGAATGTCAGTTATTCACTATATATTCAAGTATGTTAATATTATATAGGGATTATTTTTAGTAATAGCCGAACATACTCCGAGCTGACAATTAGTGTTTCTCATAAAGGACTTTGTTTTTGTGGTCTGTGCCCTAAATATCATCTCATCCTGTCAACAACTCAAACACAAAATGATTTTTTTAGGAAAAAAAGATGGGAAGAGAAAGGAGAAGGGGAGGGTAGTGTGAGGATGGACCCCTCTCACCTTGTGCCAGAGGCAGGACAAGGGAGGGGGGAGCCTGGCTGGCAGGACTTGGGGAGGCTCCAGCTCCAGCTGCTCCAGAGGTTGTGGATGAAGGAGTGTTGGAGACTGGACCTTTAGACACAACTACACACAGAGAAGCACACACTGATGGATCAATGGCCTATTAGGTCAAAAGGTGAAACAGTAAGATGAGAAATGAGAAGAGGAGGAGCTTTTATATTTTCACAGAAAGAAACAATATGGTTCAAATAAAAGCTAATAGCTGTGAGCAGCCTAACTCAGTTTCATAACTAAATCCAAGAGAGAAAATGTTTTATTTCATGAAAAGCTTGTAAAATTCACACACAAAATTATCAACAGTATATCAGTGCAGTGTTGTGTTGTACCTTTCAGTGCACACTTTTTTAAATTTGTAATAAGTCTTGTCTGTTTATAAACGCCTTACCTTTGCCAACAGGCATGAATAAGGTTTGCAGTCCAGCAGAGCCAGTTCCAACCCCGAGCTGCTTGAGCTGGTTGGCAGGGATGGTTAGGACTGTCTGCTGGGAGCTGGAACCTGCGGAGTGGATCTTCAACATACCTAGCCAAAACACACGTGTTCTATGTGTGTAATGATTCACACAACTACGTACTGTAATGAAGTCAGTGGATTTTTTTTCCTACCTGATAGCGTGGCACTTGTTTTTCCTCCTCCAGCTGCCACCCCGCTGACTAATGATGCTGCAGAAACTAATGGTGTGCTGCTGCTTTTGGACACCCCGCCCACAGCCCCCGTCCCAGCTCCTTTGGACAAGCTCATGGCGGGCACATTTGTGATCCCTTTTGCAACTGTCAGTACGGCACCGGCTGAACTTCCTGCACTTTTGCTCAGCGTGGCAGAGCTTCCTGCTCCTTTGACCAAAGAGGCCACAGCTGTCTTGGACATGCTGCCGCTGCTGGCTGCGCTGATTACTGCTGCTTGGCTGGCTGACACCAGGAGTGAGTGGTGCTGGGAGGCAGACTTCCCACCATCAGCAGCCTGGATGAGCACATGGAAGCATCTGTCAGCTAAAACATGTCCAGGAATACCGCAGCTCTAAACTCTTTAAATGTGTGGTTCAGTCAAAATCACATCAAAGATAAAATACATTTTAACATCGTTTCCACCTAAATCTTAGAACTCATTCACAACATGAATAATATTGGTAGTAAAGAAAATCAACTAAAGTTCACCAATAAAGCATAAACAAAAGATCATGTGTTCATTTGAAATGGACAATAGTCTGATAGGGCTGCATGTTTAGACTGCAAGAGCAGAGCTCAAAGCAAAGCGGATAAAAACAAAAATGTGGCCGTGAACCATAATATTCAACAAGATTAGTAAAATAGATTATAGGTTTTGTCAAAAGAAAGCAAGTGAATGGAAACTTTATTACAGTTTGGTTTATTTACATTGTGAAATATATATAGAGTCAAAATATGTACAAACAAGAGAACCACATACAGCACACTATACATTCACTATATGTTCACTATATATTTCACCCCGTTTTACGGCACCCTGATTTATTGTTTTATACACTACTCTTATTCTAATTGCATTTTTTTACTGCAGTTTATTGTTGTCATTGTTTACTGTTTTGTTGTCTGTAGTTTATACACAGTCTGGCCAGAAAAATGTCGCCACCCAAAAATAGAGGTCACACTAATATTTCATTGGACCGCCTTTATCTTTGATTACATCATGCATTCACTGTAGTGTTGTTTCAATAAGCTTCTGCAATGTCACAAGATCTATTTCCATCCAGTGTTGCATTAATTTTTCACCAAAATCTTGCACTGATGGCTAGGCACTAGGCATGATGGGTGCATCACTTCACCTGCCTCTCTTCTTACCCTGATGCGCCCATCACTCTGGAACAGAGTAAATCTGGACTCATCAGACCACATGACCTTCTTTCATTGCTCCAGAGTCCAATCTTTATGCTCCCTAGCAAACTGAAGCCTTTTTTCCAGTTAGCCTCACTGATTAGTGGTTTTCTTAAGGCTACACAGCTGTTCAGTCCCAATACCTTGAGTTTCCTTCACATTGTGTGTGTGGAAATGCTCTTACTTTCACTATTAAACATAGCCCTGAGTGCTACTGTTGTTTTTCTTCAATCTGATTTCACCAAACGTTTAAGTGATCGCCGATAACGATCATTCAGGGTTTTTTTACGGCCACATTTCTTCCTCGAAGACGATGGGTCCCCACTATCCTTCCAGATTTTAATAATGCGTTGGACAGTTCTTAACTCAATTTTAGCAGTTTCTGCAATCTCCTCAGATGTTTTCTCTGCTTGATGCCAATGATTTGACCCTTCTCAAACAGACTGACATCGTTTCCATGACCACGCGATGTGACTTTCGACATGAAGCAACTTATTGCACCAGATGCAGTTAAATAACTTGTTGCCAGCTGAAAGATGATTGCCCATGCAGTAATTATCCAATAGGAGGCTCGTACCTATTTGATTAGTTAAATCCAGGTGGCAACTTTTTTTTTGGCCAGGCAGTGTATGTTCTGTCTGGAACAGGTCTCTCTTATAAATGAGTCCCCGTGGGTCAATGAGGCTAGCCTGTATAAATAAAGGTTGAATGAAAAAAATAAAAGCCTGTCAACATACTATTACAGCAGTGGCCCGGAGGAGAAATTACCTTGTATAACCTTTGACCTTGATTTGTACCCTCAACTATAAAGCTGGAGTGATGAAAAGATTATATAACACGCTGTCTAGTGGTGTTACAAATTAGAGCCCGGACGATATATCGGTAGGGCCGATATTTTAGGCCGATATAAGCGTTTGTGGACATATCAGTATTTGTGATAATTGGCCCATTATGTGCCAATATAAACACTTCTAATTTTCACCCCTAAAGCGTTGGGAACCAACCGTGTCCTTACTTGCAAATGGCGTAATTGTGCAATGTATCCAGCAGAGGGCGTATGTGGACTACTTTCAAGTCATGGCCGTTCACTTTTAGCTTTCACTTTCAGCACAACTGAAGCAGGGAGTAATACTGTGTAGTTTATTTTACTAAACAGAGCGTGGTAAGTTTATTTTAACTGATCTGTAAAACAAATCAACAATAATAATTCTCTTCAATCCCTTAACCGACTTGTGCTTACCAGTAGCTACGTGCCTCTAAAGTTAGCAAGCTAACGTTTAGATAACCTAGCATATCATTGCCTTGTAAAACTTTATCCAGAACAATTAATCTAACGTAGCGGTAAATATATATCAGTGTTAGTAACTTTATCTTTGTCGTCCTCAATGAAATGCATTGTGTGAAATCTTTACTTCTCTGCAAAGAAAAAAAAAACCTGATGCAGTCAATAATAATTAGGCCTTCATCACATGTGACTGTGTAAACAATGAACAGGGAAGGGTGTTTCTTTGTTTCAGTAAAATTTTTGTAACACACTTGATAACTTTATGATGAATAGTGGAGGATAAAAAATGTGAAAGCACGTTAAGTGTGGAGGTGGACAAAGCTCAAAAAGTTTCAGCCAATATATCGGTTATCAGCATCAGCACTCCCCTCTCAATATCGGTGATAGCCCAAAATTCCACATCGGTGGGACTCTAGTACAAATGTGTATCAAATCTCATTAAATGATCTTGAGCGGATCAAAATTATGGACGAAACAATCAAAGACCTCGCTGTAAATTCAACCTTGATTTATGACCTCTACTTTGGAGTCGGGGTGATAAAAAGTTCAACACTTTGTTTAGTGATGACGCATTCGAGTGAAGTTTCGTTAAATTATCTTGAGCGGAGCAGAAGATATGGGCGGGGCAAGAGAGAGTTTGTGATCGTATGGAGACTATGCAATAATAATACGTCCACCTTTTACACATTTAGAAGACATGATGTTCACACACTTAAGACAAAAATAAGTCACAAGCTTTACTAGAGGCTTTCAAGATGGCATAAAGAAAGCAGTAATTTTTATATTATATTATACACGTAACTACACGTGCACACTCTGCTACTCTCACACACAAGTCCTCAGTTCTCTGGTTTTGGTGTGTAGCTGGAAGCTAAGACTGCAGGATCGACTCTCTTCTGGGCACATTCTCCATTTCATACTGGGGGTGTGTGTCAGCAGAAAATGTGGGTTAAAGCTATAAATGGTAACCGTTCAAGCTGCAGATTGGAACTGCTGGAAATTTATGAACATAACGGTGCTCACTGGTTTACAGCTGGGCAACAACTATCGTTAACTACATGTACTTTATGTTGCTGACGTTTGTTTTCCAGTGCCGCACAACTAATTTATCAGGCCCAACGCTTTTGTTTAATTTTCAAAAAGGTATTAGCGCTTCCAAAATTATTTTACAAATATCAGTTACTTCTCAGCACCATTACGAGTGCTTTTGTGTGTTTTAAATTGAATGGTTGTTTTTTTTTGTACGATGGAGCATCTAGGATGAGATTTGTGCATTTCCATTACTCAAGTTAATGAGGTCTAGCGCATGCTCTGAAGCTGTAATCACCTCAATCAGGACTGAGGCTGAACGGCTGCTAAGTGATTTTCAAGCACTTTCAATTATCTCTGCTCTTTGGGACTAATAAATCACCAACCTTACTGCAGCACTCAACACTGGATCTCTTCTGCTTTAAATGTTTTCTCATTGCCGAGGACAATGTGTCATTTGTAGTTTTAGTATTTTTATCACTTATAGCACCTACTAATAAGTATATAACTGCTTCTTAAGCATTACTGTGCTGCACACTTTAAAAACTATTCTTATATCTCACAAATAAATATTTTTGTGACTGAAACATTGAACTCCTATGGACAGAATTTTCTATAAATCTGGTGAAATTAATCAGAAAAACAGGTAAGTAGACAAAACTATAAATAAATAAAAAGATTTTTCATAAGATCAACCCAGTTCAACTTCATAAGATACAGCTGTTTAATTTTCAAATGGCTTAAAGAAATCATAAGAACGAAAACTAAAAGAGTGGAACTAGCCTGTTGACTGGCCGCAGCAGCAGAACTGGAGCAGGCTGCTGTGATTACTCCACCCGTCATCCTCAACGTGGTGGTGCCAGGCTTGGACATGTGGCCCACTCCTGCTGCCGTTACTGTCTTCACAGAGCCGTCAGACAACTTGAGCTGTGCTCCCTGTGAGCTGCCAACCACCTGAGGGTCAGGTCAAAAACTAATATATGTTCGCACGAGCTTGTTACACCTTCAAGAAAGTAAGTGAGGTCAGAAAGACCTTTAAACCATAACATATACAAAAATATTAGATTCTGACCCAACTAAAATATATTTATATATATATTTAAATTTGACAATATGCTGTTTTACACTGGATTTAGTAGTAATGATAATAAAGAACATCTTGTGGTAACAAATCTGCAAAAAAGCTAAACTGATTTGATCTTTTTTCACAATAAAAAAATAAAATAGCTAAGATGTAGTTACGTAAAGTGAGAAATTAAAGAGCTTGTTGACACTAAAACTATTTCAATGACCTCAGAACAGGTTGAAATTACCTGAGCCAATATGGCTGCCTTCTGTCCGGCGGTCACCCGGATGGCCTGCTGGGTAGCAGCTGCAGACGATGATACTGAATGACCTGCTGACCCTGAACCCCCCTGCTTCGCTGATCCTTGAGCTGGCTGGCCAACCAGAAATGTACCCTGAAAAATAATGGACCATAAAAGATAAATCATGTGTCAAACTTTAACACAACCATGACATTGAGTTAAGTCAGAGGCATTACGTTTTAAGTACATTATACACAAAATACAGGAAATTTAAATTGAATAAATAATGCATGTCTTTCGATGTTTAAAGAAACTGGAGTGCCCTGAGAAAGCTCACATAAGCGCAGAGGAATAGGCAATGTCCAAATAAAAAAAGGAAAAACATGGAATATCCTTGTAGCGAGTTTCCCATCAATCCACAAATTACATTTAAAAAATATTTATAAAAAGTTAAAGAGTGTGGAAGGTTAATTAAAAAAAATAAATAAATAGAAAGAAAATGTGTCAACCCACCTGTGGGGTCTGCTTCAGGATGTAGGATGTGTAGGAGAGGTTGGAAGGCAAACTGCCTGAAGAGGATGAGTTCTGTCCTGCTCCTGCTGAAGAGCTGCTCTGGGACTGTTGACCTATTGTACAGACAGCAACAAACACAGCCTCAAATCAGATACATCATCTTTATTCAGTATTTACACACCTTTTTTGACGTGTGATTTTGTTGAGTGATCCTGGAAATGTTTTTAGGCAGAAGGGAGCAGGAGACAATGACTTGATTCATGAACATGTGACTCCCACCTCCAGTCGTACTCAGTCATTGCAGAACAGGTAATGAGGTACAAAACTTTATAACAACAAAATAATCTATACATTGAAGTCCCAATGCATCCGGTGTAAATAGTTTAATAGTTTTGTGGATTACAAGACACCACATTGTTCAGAGAGCACTTTCAATTTTACCCAAATATTTAGCATGTCTTACTTGCACTGGAGGCTCTGAGGATGGCTCCCTGTGGAATAAGCAGCAGCTTTCCCTTCCCCGATGGGTTCTTGCTGTTGGTGGTCAGGTACAGCTTGGTACCTGGAGGTAAATTAGCCAAGTTGGCCAGGTTGTTTGCTGGGAGCTGAAGAGTGGCCATCACTAAAAAAAAAAGCATAAAAAGATTAATCTTCACCAAGTTATTAAACTGTGTTGCAAGTTTTAACAAAATGAACTGACAGTATTAATTGCAATATAATTCACTAGAAAATGGACAACAGCATTGTGGTGCAATGCATTGTGGGCAGTGGTTGTGATACTGTTTATCATGGCTGTGGAGCAGAGTGCATCTGAGTGTAGCGTGTGAACTCTGACCTCCACTCTTGCCACCCGAGCCACCGGCTGCCCTGCCACCAGCCTGCTGACCAGAGACACCACTGGCTCCACTGACGATGGCTTTAGCAACTCCCTGAGCCAAAACCTGCTTCCCACCCATCACCTTAGAAACAGAGGGGTTGCCCTTGGCAACCAGAATCTGTCCACTACTAATGGCAACCTGCTTCACTGAAGACTGAAGCGTTGAGCTGACAGGAATACCCAACATCTATAAAGAGAAGAAGTGCAACATTAGGTTTATAAATGTTTAACTCTGAAGTGCATGTGCATCACTGTTCATATGAATTATTGACATGATGCAGGATGTGTTTTAACACAGTCTGACCTTACTAGCTGTGGACCCTGTGGCCCCTCCAGTCTGTTTCTGGCTCGACATAGATATCATGTGACCTCCCTTCACTGCGACAAACTGGTGGGCTGCAGCAGCAGCAGGTTGCTGCTGGCTGGTTTCTGTGGAAACCATCTGCTGTTGCTGTGTTGAAACTTCCCCTGGCTCCTGCTTGATAATAACCTGAACGTAACACATGGAGAGATCTCAGACATATAGTATTAAAACAGTACAGTAGTGGCCAATGACTGCTGAGCATGAGGTGCTTAATCAAATAAAGATAGATATCATCATGTATTCACTGCAGAAATGTAATTCAAGTGATGAGCATGTGAGAGTGGCCTCATAGGATTATTAAGACATTTGTTGGGAAAGTGGAGTGTTCAGCTCTCAGGCAAGCTCCCCTCCCCCACCTTCAGAAAGATGTCCTATTTAAATATGTGCCAAGACACTCACATCTGCTGAAGATAGCATTAACTACAATTTTTACCCCACTGCTTGGTTAAAGAAGCAGATTCTGCCAGAACACAGCTGGAGAACACATCAGTAAAATGTTTTAACTTAAAACGTGTAATGGATAAAAGCTTTAAGACTCGTGACTCACCTTAACCCCTGAGGAGAGGAGGGTGCCGGTGTGAACTTTAGGCGCAGGAGAGCGAGCACCTTGAGTCTGTTTGGCAGAGGGGCATCCTGGGAAGTAATTTAAACATGATAGGTCAGGAAAAATATGACGGTTCTGGGGAGGGGTTCTGCAGTTGTTGTCGAACTTTTCAGAAAAATGAGGGCATCTGTGGTGCAGTCACACTTTTCTTTTTTGGGTGACTCTGTGTGGGTGTCGAGTCTGACCTTTTTACATACAAGTAGAGAAGGGTACTGCTGAAGTTTTGCTTCTTACCCAGTTTAAAAATGTTTGGTGAATCATTTACAACACCCACATCCACCTCAGCTAGTGTGATGAGGCATTATTTAAAGCAATCCAAACCTGGTTGAGCTGCACGCTTGTAGAGGGAAATAAGAAACTGAGTGGATGTACAAAGCAACACAGTGAGAGTTAAGAGGATACTTCTGAAGAAGCAAACATCAGCTCGTATCAGAAGGACCTGCTCCTCGATGCAGTGACAGATATGTTGAGTGAACTCCTATTTCACCTGACGTTATCTCTTTCCAACCAAGCGCAAACTATATTTATACGCATCAAACAAGTATACTTGAAAAAATAATCAGTAGGAGGGTGAGGTCTCATACAGTATAATCTGACCATAAAAGACATCAGCTCAGTCACCATGGCAACCACTTATCCATCAGCTATCCCGCTGAATCACCATACAAAAGACATATGAGTGCAAAATGAACTACAAAAGAAAAAAATGGAAGAAGAAAAAGACTGGAATCACACATGGCTGGATAACTAAGAAAAAACATCACTGTAATGCCACTTTAATTGGTGATCTATAACTTATCTATGATGATGATTATCTCATACTGCAGTATTCATTCATACCCATCATTCATACCCATCTGCTAACCACAGACATGTTTGGGCTGCTGTTGTGTTACATCGTATTGTTTTACGTTATTAGTGTTTAGCGTATATCTTAGTTCTTTTAGCTACCATTGGGTGTTTGTTTACCGTTTACCTTAAGTGTATATTGTTATGGCCCAAGGCTTTCCTCTTGGCCTCTCTAACATGTCTGTGTTTCAGAGCTCCTAACTGGTGTTGATTGGAAGTGGAGGCAGCTGGACAGTGTCTCCAGAAGAGCTTCAGATACAGCTTAACATCCACCACTTGCTCTCATTCCCGCTCTCCCTTCTTCTCCAATCATCTATGACTTTTGTTAAATAAATATAATTTTAAGTTAACCCGTGCGTTGCTTCCTCTTTATTTGTTATGGTCCTAGAGCCAGGCCGTAACAATATCTTAGATCCTTATCTACTGTTTGTTTTATACTTGATATTTTGCTATTGTTAGGTGTAACTGGGACCCTGTGTACATAATTTCATTCCAGCTCATGTACCACATGTGATGGAAATGACAATAAAATTGACTTGAACTTGATAATAAAGATTAAAGTGGAGGATTTCAAAATGTATAAAGGGACAAAAACTGAGTTAAAATTTCTCAATTCTTTACTTTGGAGTAGATTCTTCACATCCATTCTTAGGTTTTATGTGTGTGGTTCAGATGCCGTTTCTCAGTTACGCCTGAGTTTCCTCCAAGAGGTACTTTGACACCGAGTAGGAAATATATACAGTACCCGTGGAGGAAGCAGATGAAGCCATGCTGATCACCTGGCCTGGTTTATCCACGATAATATATGGGTTGTTTAGCACAGAGGAGGAGCTCTGCTTGCTGTGGGCAGGGGTGGAGGCGGTGGGTGTCCGGGGCAGCGGTGAGTGGCTGGGAGTAGAGATGGGAGACCCTGTGGGTGTTACAGAACAAGCTGTTGAAATATCATGCCCCTGTGAGGATGGGGTGTTAGCAGAGAAAGAAAATAGGTAGAAACAAATTCTTAGAACTGTTTTCTTTAAGAAAAAAAACATTAACAATTAAATATATTAACATGAAATATAAAGTGACGAGCAACAACAAATAAGTGTTTATTGACTCATAAACTTGCTCATACATGTGTGCTTTACTTTATTCTCATCAACATTCTTTGAATTTTTTTCTGAATTTATATAACTGCACATGTTGCATATTACTGTAATTTCCTATTAACTTTATTTTGTTAAGATATATTTATTTTTTAGGGGGAAAAATGTATAGTGTGCAAAACTAATAAAAATGAGCATTTTCACTGGAATTTCAAGTCTAAAAGTTTTTTTTTTTTTTTTACTTTTAAATAAAATAAGTAACGAGGAAAAACCCAAATTCAAGGTATGGTCATTTTGATTTGATTTTACAAACAGTAGGCTGCTGGGCATTTTGAACTAAAACAGTGTTTATGATGAATTTATCAGGTTAAAAAGTGGTAAAGACCATGTCAATACTAAAAACAGACGCCCTTTACTGGAAGTGTTAAGCTGACATCAACAATTCTTTGTGGTGGTAATATTTCACCTAAAAACAGTACATTTAAAATGTTGAAGTGCTTTATTAACAAAACTCAGAAATCAAGAGAATGTATCCAAAGTTTCTCTGCATGCAAAAAACAAATCCTATTTCTCTAAATGTCTCAGATGGAATAAGGAATGAAGTTTTCCTGACATAATGCAACACAAACAGCTCAAGGAGTGCAGACTCGCTGGAAGAGAAACTTACCTGAGACTATTTTACAGCTCATAGTGATTGGTTGGAATGATTTCCCAGGTGACTCGGCAGGACTGGGTGGCTGTCCTTGAGGAACTATCTTACAGCTTGATGTGATCGGCTGAAAAGCAGAGTTGCCATGGGAACCCAGAGTGACTCTGTCTCCAGGTTTGGGTCGCGTTGGCGTCCGTTCACCAGCAGTGAGGCCTGAAGTGCGACCACCTGCAGATCTCGCGGTCTCAGCTTTGATAGAACCTGAAGACCAAATGACATTAAATCATTGTTCCAAATGCATCTCAAAAACAAGTTACACATGTGACTGTTATATATTCAACCCAGTCTTATAAAACATGATGATTCATGCACTTCATTTCAGCACTTTGGTTGGCCTTGTTGCTGTTTTAAGAGCTATATAAATAAATTGGTATGGTATGGTATGGTATATGAGTCTGCTAGATAATTATAGACAAGAGTCCCCCAAACAGCGCATTATAAGCTGATCATCAAACCGTTATACAGCAATAGAACAATGTAGAGCAATGACCTGGAGAAGCAAAGACCTCGTATAACCTTTGACCTTGATCTTAGAGCCAGGATGATGAATCATTACACAATGTCTGGTGGTGGTATAAATGTGTACAAGTTTAGTTGAATCTTCTTGAACGGATCGGAAGTTATGGCCCAGACAAGCGGAAATTTACGTACAATACATCAAAAAGCATATAAAAATACTAAGTAGTTTGAAGAACAAAAAATAACTTTGTCTTGATTAGTTTATCTTAAAATTAGATATTCTTTCCACATTTGCAATTAATGTTTTTTTGACTATTTGAACTTAAAGTTATAGAAAGGCTTCAGATCTTGATCAGTGCTGTACATAAAACCTATTAGCCCATTTTTATCATTAATTTATGACCCAAAAATAATAATAATTTGCTCTAAAACTGGCCTTATCTACACAGACAGGTCTTCAATTTCTTATTAAAAAACAAACGAACAAACAAACAAATCCTTAAACTTACACGTTTGAAGTGTAATTGATTCTGTTAAGAGTACCTTTGTCAGCGCTGCAGTCATGAGAGATGGGGGAACTTGAGCGTCCATAAGTTTGGGCCAGGGGAGAGGATGACATGGGGCTGGCTGTCCTTTGAGCCACCTTGGAGAAAGAAGGCTGAGGAATGTAGTCTTCCCCAAGAGAATCTCTATGAAGTTCCACATCAACCACCTAAAAAATGTAACACTGTCAGTGCAAAGCCTCGGAAAAAACTCCCAGCAGGAAACAGAGCAAACACGTAGCTTACAGTTTCTGCCCCAAGTGTCTGTAGTCCTGTGTATGTTCTGTCCAGCTGCAAGAAAACAGAAGTTGGTCAAAAAAGGCACAAAACTAAAATTGTAACCACTAATAATTTTATTCTTTAGTGCCATCAAATGAATTATTTTTTTTTTAATGAATTCAACTAAGAAAGTGTTAATCTTTGCCCAAATCATTGCATTACTGGCATCAAACATGGACCTGGTCTTGTTTAAGTACAACAAATATGAGGAAGAAAAAAACTTTAAGCTTTGTGTTTTCTGAAACCTTTCTATTTGTAATGAGTATATTTACTCATGGCTGAAATCATCAAAAACAAAAAATGAAAGAGCTCATCACACGAACTGGAAGAGGGTCGATGAATGACGTGGAAAAATGCCGTGAGCGCCTCAAATAAAGACGTTACGTGGGACGAGATCTGACCTTCAACTGGTGGATGATGTCGATGCGTTTGTTGCGAGAGTCTTTGAAGTGGATCTGGATCCTCACAGGAAACTCCCCCCAGCCCCGGCGCGTTAAATGAAAGGGAGGCTCGCTGAGAAAACACAAAGCCCAAAAGTCCAATTTAACATCATCTGAATACAAACCTATAAATAACGCCTCATGCTGCTTTTGAAACGAAGGAGTCTTGCAAAGTCTTCTAGCTCAGATAAAGCTCCTAATCCTTTTTAATCAATTATTTTAAAATGCCCTCTCTTTTGAAGTTTGACAATTTCATCCAAACTCACAGAAAACACTTGCATGTTTAAGGAGATGTGAATGTGCCTAGATAATAAGTGTTTATTCAAATATAACCAATTAGTTTTATCTTGAACTTTATGTACCAGATCTAAAAAAGTTAAATCTGGTCCTCTGGACATTCAAAAAAACCCAAAACAAAGCAAATCAAAAAAATGTAGAAACGTTTCGTCTCTCATCCGAGAGACTTCCTCAGTCTGAGGAGCTGTATTCAGCTCAGTCTCTTAAATAGCACCGTCTCAGGGTGGATCAACCAGTTTTGCTGCTGACAACCAAAACCAGCTGATCACATGCTCAAGAAGGACCATCAGCATAACAATGGGTCATTAGCACACTGATGGCTGTTTACTGTTCACAGAGGGCTGAGTGATACTAGCAATCACAGCATTGTAAGAGGGGGACAGTTGAACCCGGAGGCCTCCACCCCTGTTTAATGATGGACGGTTTCTTTTCACAAAGATGGCCTCCTTTACTCCTCTCTCAAACCATTGTTCCTCTCTGTCCAGGATGTGAACATCTTCATCCTTGAAAGAGTGACCGCTGGCCTGGAGATGAATGTAGACCGCAGAATCTTGGCCTGATGATGTTGATCTTCTGTGCTGGGCCATCCTTTTGGCCAGTGGCTGTTTAGTTTCCCCGATGTAAGACTGATCACAGCCCTCCTGACACTGAACAGCATACACAGCATTACTCTGTGCCGGGGGACTGGATCTTTGGGATGAACCAGTCTTTGCCGTAATGTATTTTGGGGTTTAAAAGCCACTGGGATGTTATGTTTAGAAAATAAACGTCTCAGTTTCTCTGATACTCCCTCAACATATGGAATGACCACTGGTCTGGGTCTGGGTTCCTCCTTTTCACCTGTTGGCTGACTGGAGTCTTGTTTGGGTTTCTTCTCTGCTTTCAGGAAGGCCCAGTTAGGATATCCACATTGCTCTAGAGCCTGTCTTGTGTGGGATTTCTCCTTCTGCCTGGCTCCTGAGCTAGTGGGGACGCTGTCTGCTCTGTGATACAGAGTCCTGATGACTCCTAACTTGTGCTCCAAAGGGTGATGGGAGTCAAACTGCAAATACTGGTCTGTGTGTGTGGGTTTGCGGTACACCTCAGTTTGCAAATGTCCTCTATCAGAGACTGAGACCTCACAGTCCCAGAAAGCTAACCTGCCATTTTTTACATCTTCTCGTGTGAACTTGATGTATTTATCCACAGAGTTGATGTGGTCAGTAAAATGTTGGACTTCCTGAGATTTAATTTTAACCCAGGTGTCGTCAACATACCTGAACCAATGACTTGGTGGTGTCCCTGAAAAGGACGTCAAGGCTCTCTTTTCTACCTCCTCCATGTACAGGTTGGCAACAATAGGAGAAACTGGAGACCCCATAGCACACCCATGTTTCTGCCTATAATATTGCTCCCCATATGTGAAGTAGGTTGACTGCAGGCACAGTTTCAAGAATTGACACAGTTGTTCTGTGGAAAGCGTGGTCCTGCTGCTCAGAGTGGTGTCTGATGTTAATTTTAAACTGACCACCTCTACTCCATCATCAACAGGAATGCACGTAAAGAGTGATGTGACATCAAAAGAGACCATTGTTTCATCAGTCTCCATGATGACATCCCTCACCTTGTCCACAAAGTCCATGGTGTTCTGTATGTGGTGTTCTGAGCTGCCAACTAAAGGGATGAGTACAGACGCCAGATATTTGGAAACATTGTAAGTGACAGAGTTAATCATGCTAACGATTGGTCTTAAAGGTACACCTTGTTTGTGGATTTTAGGTAAACCATACAGACTAGGTGTGGCCTCCCCTGGGTACAGTCTGTGGTACAGAAAACGGTCAATAGCCTTGTCCTGCTCCAAAATTTTCAGGCAATCTAT